AGGTCTTTTCCAACCTAAACGATTCTATGATTCTAACTTATGACAAATTAAAAATAAGGTTTAAATTGTCATCCATTTGGGTATGGAAGGTGTGGTATTTGGTAAATTGAATGAACTGTAGAAAGGTAGAAATGTTAGATGAGGGTGTGAAGACATGAAAGGATCATAATGAAATAAGAGAAACTAATTGATTGGCCAAACCATTCTGTTGATGAGCATGGCATGAGTGGAAAGAGATGTGGCTCATTAGATGTTTTCCTATTTTGAGTGACCTAAAAGGAGGCATTTCACTAAGTCTTGTAGCAGGTAGGCATTGGACAAGTGACTTTTTCCTAGCAGTGTTGTCAGCTCTCCATAATCACTGCAGGGCTTTCAATTTCTTCTTGCAGTCTTGCTGTCTTAAAATCTGCTAACTGAGGAATAAACCAAGGCAGAAAAAAAGATTTTCCTAGCTTAGTATCCTATTCCTGACAATAGCCAGAAGACGACTGCTGGGAAAGAGAATAAGACTAGAGTAAGGAGATGGTAATGCCTCCTCAGAAGATTCTTCTGTCTCAGCAGCTTGCGATGTGGGAACTTCTGAGTCAGACCTGGTTTCTGTAAGTAACCTGCAATGAATTTTCCTTCTTTAAACTTACCCAGTCCCTCTTTGAATCTGTGTAACCTTTTAGCATTCAAATAGGAAATGTACATTTTAATTACGTATTTTTATGAAGAGAAACCACCTGTTTTAATTTTGCTGGCTTTATTTATGACTTCTTTCTTCTTTGGTAAGAGACAGCAGTATCTATCCTTCCTTTCTAGGTGCCCATTTCATAGATATCTGTTATGTTCCTCATTAGAGTTCAGGTATATTTAGTTGTATGTAGCATGGAACTACACTGACCACTCTTCTCGCCCTTTTTGACCATTTTCCAGTTCTTTTTATTTTCTGTTTGGAGTAAGGGGGTGGGGAGGGAGGGAGGAGGGATTTAGAACTACTACATTTAGGCAAACCATGGATTTCTTTGTGGTAGCATGAGGAGGAGTTGGGTTTTTTTCTCTCCTAGTAATTCTAAGCATTTAGCTTGTTCTTGACTATTAAGTTAGTGTTTTGGTAGATTTGTAATATAATCGCAAAATTTGTTTTCTGAGTAGTTTTGATCAGCTCAGAGCTCCTCACTTTGTGAAGTTGGGATGTTTTCTTCCTTTGTGTGCATTGCTTTACATTTCACTGTACGGAATTTCATCTGTCCGCTTTTTTTGTAGGGTATATTAACCTACAGTATTGCCCAATTATTAAATCATAGGTATTTTTTCTATAGCTGTTTTGTTCTGAAGTCTTTAGTCTTATATAAAGTTAAAATTTTAAAGGTATGCAAAGATATAGCAGCAAACATTTCTTTGAATTCTACAGCTTTTCTGTATGTCTAATTCTGTACATTAATTATGTGCTAATGGCTAGTTAAAGCACAATGCTCCTGTCAAAATTCAAATTCTTTCTTCATGCTGGAATTCAACATAGGGCAAAAAATTACTACTTCAGTATGATTGCAGTTTTAGTGAGTGGTAGATGGGAAATGACCTCTTTCAGTGTTTGGGGGGAGCTATTTGGAGTCCCACTGTGGACAACAGGTGTTCTGTATGGAACTTCTGAGGGCAAAATTCAAAAACTTTTTCATTTCTTGAGACTAAATTCATTGCAAGTATGGTATTTAAATCTGTGTCCTATCACTGTATGTTGATGATTGTAGAAGACTGACCCATGCATTTCCATGAGGTTGCAGTGTCTGACTGAAATATGGGATCTTTGTGGTCAGCTCTCAGTTAGAATGCATCATCCTATTATATGCCTGCTGGGGACTCCTCTGACAAACTCTAGCCTGATTTGGTCTTTGAGGTACAGTAGTGAGTTCTTATAAATAAAAGCATTTTCCTTGTACACCTATACATTGTTTTCAGTTGACCTAGTGATGCAGTGAGAAGCTCAACAAATTTCTTGTTCGGAATACTTGAGCACAATTTCCTTTTTTTTGCAGTGTCTGATGGTAGGTAGAAGTGTAAAAATCAAGCAAGTTGAAAAAGTTCGAACTATGTATAATAATAGTTAGTGGATGATAAAAGTAATCAAGGTTAGCATGTGCGTTGCTGACTGATCTGTGCGTCTCATGGCAAGTTGTGAGAAATTAAGACTCCTGTTTGGTACCAGGCTCACCGTTTGGGTTGAAAGTGGCAGCCTTCCACTCTTGTCACAAATTGCTAATCGGCATTGTCTATATGAAAGTATGAAAGAATTTCAGGAAAGTTTTCCTGTTAGATTCGGCAATTCTTGAAAAGCCCATGATAGGAATGAAAAAATTCAGTATTTGTTTTCAACTTGCATATGGCCAGTTCATGTCCTATTTCCAGCCTTGTAGAAACGGATTCTGAAACCTCTAAATAAGTTCCATATGGAAACTTACCAGTCGACATGGTTATGTTTCAAAATTGTAGGTGTGGTTGGCAATCTCTCCACTGACTGCCATGCCCCAAACAGCTGTAGTTAGTATTTTAACTATATTACTAGCATCTTCCTCTGGAAAAACTAGTATTCTTGGATAGTTTCTACTTGGACTTATATGTCTATATGCTACCTAATTAGGCTTTCAGAAGACTGAAATAATCACAGAATCTGAATAACTCAGGAACAATAGTAAATCAAACCAGGAATCTAAGCATTATGAAGTTAGGAAAAAGTATCCAAGAACAGGCTGTGGCTGGACCCTATCAAAGGCACTCATCTCAGAAATAGGTTACAGAGTGTTACAAAGAGGATTGGTAATTGCCACAAATGATAGTTTTTTGAGCTAGATCAGAATACTTTTTGTTGTTTAATGTTCCAGTGATCAAGACTTCAAGTGTTACTAATACTACCAATAATTTTGAATATTGCTATAGCTGCTGATCATGTTTTACCTTCAGAGGTATATTTTCAGTTCTCTACAGCTGAACATTCCTTGGCCTATCAATATGAAGTACTTCTGTTAAGTAGCAATATCTTGGAATTCACTTCTGCTCTTTGTACTACTCCCCAGCTACTGAAAATACCTACATGTTATCATGTTACTCCATTAGAGTGGGCTTGCAGTTGCTGTTGTCTCAAACCTAATGTATTTTAATTGTTAGGAGTATGGCAAATAGTTCTTGCAGTATTAATTCCTTAGGTAAGAATCAAAAAACTTCTCCTTTTTCTTAATGAAAGACTAATCTTATAGAACATTGATGATTCTTGACAGAATTTTTACTTCTTGTATGAGTCTTGATTCAAAACTTGTGGTTTTCTTCTTACAGTTAATTCCATATCTTCCCTCTCTTCCCCTCTATTTTTGACAGAATGGTGTTCTATGCCTTTTAAACAATGATTTTGCTTCACTGAAGAGAATAAGAGCTATAGTTCCCTTGCTATGTAGGGATCTTTTGAAGTACAAACAAAAACATAGCTGTTTAGTTTGAGATTTTTCTTTTTTAAGAACAGAGATTTCTAAGCAGCTCATCCTGTGCTTGGTGGTTGTTACAAAATAGAGATGAAAATGGACATAGGTTTTGATTATTGATATTATGTAGAATTTATTGTGTACTTCGGTAAATCAGGGGTCCCCCTTTTCCTGCAAAATGTTTAGCACAATCTGTAATTTGATCAAATACACTTGATTATCCTACCTCCTAAAGTTTCCTTTAGTTGTAAACAGTACATTTCACAGCTGCTAATGAGTAACAAATCTGTACATGCTCCAAATTGATTATGAGAGATTAAGTCTGTTTACAATCTGTGGACCATTATTGCTTGGGAGGAGAGAGGGGAGGAAAAAAATTGAAGTTTAAAATAATCATGGAAGCAATTTCGTATTGGAAGTATTTTGCCACTGGATATATATTTTGTAAGTATGTGGTAGGACAGCACAAGCATGCATTTCTTTTTAGAAGTCTAAATGTTCTTCCCTGAAGTTGGTATCATGTTGCTTGGGTTGGAAAATGATGATGACCATAACTTATTGTATGAATTACGATTTAAATTGTCATAGAGAACAGGTATTAATTTTTGGTGGTTAGTGTTCATAACTCACTTCAACTGCTTGGTATAGCAAACTGTTCTGCAGTTTGCTACATCTGAGGAAAAGAGTATGTTCCCTTTAAAACACTATTGACTTTAGTTCTTTGAAAATAATTGAGTTTAAGTAATATGAACTTCAAGCATTATGGCACTTTTTGGAAAGTTATTTTTGTGTGTGTATACAGACAAAGTATGTGCAATGAATACTATTATGCAGCGATTGATACAAGAATGCAGACATCCTGTGCAAGTTATTCAGATGGTTTGGCATTGTTCTTAACTATGACTGTTTGTGATGTTGACTTATTAGCTGTTCATATTTTTAACAGGAAGACAGTGATCCAGCAGTTCACGAAAGCCTAAGCATAGAAAATACATTATGGGCAAGCACTGTTGTTGCTTCAGGTAAGTGTTGCAATAGCAAAGCTGATAATGTATCTAAAAACTTCTGTGGAAGTGTATCTTTATTCTTACATTGTGAAATATTAATGGCTTTTGAAAATCTTTTTGTCTTCCAGGCTGTTAATCTCTTGCTCATCTGTTGTCTGCCTTCCCATTGGTTTCTTCATGCTACTCACAATATTTTCATATCTTTTTAATCCTCCTTAATAGTGGGGTTTTTTTTACTTAAATTTTGCTGTTTCAGTAGTACTGTCCCTTGTACCCCACTAAAGTCACTGACCTTTTTGTTTTAGTTAAAATTTCACGTTGTAAATTGCTCCATTCAGCTCACTGTGGATAGG